AGGAGTCCTGTGGCACCTTATAGACTAACTGAAGTGTAGGGGCATACGCTTTCATGGGCAAAGACCCACTTCGTCAGATCTACGAAGTGGGTCTTTGCCCACGAATGCTTATGCCCCTACACTTCAGTTAGTCTATAAGGTGCCACAGGACTCCTCGCTGCTTTTGCAGATCCAGACTAACACGGCTACCCCTCTGATACTTCCAGTCCTAGTATTTTATGATTCTATGAAAAATAAGGTCTCCTACTTTTTGATTTGTGTGCATCGCAAACATTGCAAACATGTCAATACACAGCTTTTAAAAGGCAGAAACTGTCACTTTTAAAACCACAGACAGAGTTCAGGTGAATGCATGTGGGGGAGGGGAGTTAGAGAGATGTTACCTTTTTCTTTCTTCATTCAGATTTGAGAATTTGCCATTCTGCATGTCCACATTTTGGGCCAATTGTTCAATTTTGCTTTTGGCCGCTGGGCTTAAATAGATACTGTGGTGAAATACTGTGTATAGTGCAAAGAGGAGAACATCCATCACTGAAATCGTAGTCTGCGGAAATCTGACGTTTTTGAGCACATTTTCAATGAATGTGCCGATGTAATCAAAGACCTAGACAAACAAAGTAATAATGTTTTGCATTGTACTAGAAGCATCAGCAGGTACATCCTTAGAGAGTATAGGTCTGGGACAGTCCCCTCCTCCTTTGCTCCATGCCCTACCACTTCTTGTCCCTGCTTGCTCCTTCTCCTCCTGACTCTACCCTTTCTCCAACGCCCTCTCCCACAAGTGATACTGGGAGCTGGTGGTGTGGATCAGGCTGGAGCCAGGTCACCCCCGTTCACAACACCACTGTTAAGTGCAGGAATGGACTCAACCCCTAGTGCCAGTGCCGAGCCCCCCTGCTAATCCGCCAGGTCACCCTTCACCCCACACGCTCACATCCCCCTGCAGCACAGTGCAGATGGTCTTAACAAGGACATTAATGATCTTACCCATTCCAAAGATAGCGTCCCCAATTATCACCTCTAATATCATTAGCTCACAGACATTTACCTCCCCCCTCATCCTCTTTCTGTTCTGAAATTTGATTTGTCCTTTTCATATGTGTTCATTTTTTTGATTGTATCCTTTGGTATATATGGCCATGCCAATTTTCTTCCACTATTTGATCTGAGGAAGTGGGTCTGGCCCACGAAAGCTCATCGCCTAATAAAGCATCTTGTTAGTCTTTAAAGTGCTACATAATCCTGTTTTTTGTTTCAGCTACACCAGACTAACACGGCTACATTTCTATCACTAGAGTAGAAAAGGGCATGGTTCATTTAAATTCATGGAGGAGACACTAACCCTGTGACATTTACATTCACCACGACCGCTCCATGACTTTTGGCAAACACCATAACACATCTGCAGCCCTTGCCATGATGCATGAAATTTTGCCTAATCTAAAGCCAACCTTTCACAGACGCAGCTTGTAGGTCCCAGCGTCTGAGAACAGACTCTGGAAATCAGCTCCAAGAGCTGGCAAAATGATCCCGGGGCAGCCCAATCCAGCTCCAATGAAAGCAGATAGGAGTCCTGCAACTTCAACAGGAGTTACAGTGGGTCATTGGGATCTCCTCCACAGCCCACAGAGTCTATTGAAAAACTCCTATAACTCCAATGGACTTCAGAGCAGGCCCCAAGACTGGAGAGGGAAAGAACAGCAAATCTAACACTGAGTTCTGAATGCATCTCTGAGGATTGTCATGCACCATGTGGACACAGAGTTACCTCCAGAGAAGTTCACTGGGGGCCCTTCCAGCCACCGCGGCTCTGTGGTGGGATAAGAGCTGGGATTTGATCACTCACCTTTAACACATCAGTGTCAGTGTCACAATCATTTACTTTTCGCACTGCATCCCCAATGGTGCTGGTTTGGAAGCACTCCTTGTAGCAGTTGAGCTTCCTTTCCACATCCCCAAAGCCCTTCCGGTGAGAAAGGTCTCGGAGAAGCTCGTCCTCCAGGAACTGCAGGATCAGGTTGCTAGCCATCTCCTTGGATTTTCCCATTGGTACAGAGCCAAACTGGGACTGGCAGAGGCCATCAAACTGGGTCCACACCCCTAGGGAGAAAGAAACATTTGTCAAGCTTCAGATAAATGCCTGGGGCCCTTCAAACTTGCCCGGGGACAGAGTGCAGGAGCAAGCAGTGCACAGTCTATCACTGAATTAACCTTTTCATTTGCCACTTTATAGAGCTGCATGTGCCATGCAGTTAATAGATTCTGAGGCTGGCAGCATCCTCTGTGCCCATCCAGCTCAGCTTCCTGCCAACCCCAGGCTGGAGAATCTTCCCTGTGATTCTTGCCTGTGGCCTAGTAACTCCTGGCTGAGCAACAGTGATGTTTTGAGAAAGGGAAACCATACCCCCTCTAGGGGAGCTCGCCCAGGGGCTCGTTCACCCCCCTGGTAAACACAGGCCCCTAATTCCCCCTGAATTAGTCTCCCACAAACTCCCAGCCACTGGATCCTGCTCTGCCGTTCTTTGTGAAACCAAATCACCCTCTCCTCTCAGAAATCTTTTCCCCACTTAGACACTTGTAGACCAGTAACGTGTCACCTCTGAGCCTTCTCTTGGAGAAACAAAATAGATCAGGACCCTTCAATCTCTCCCTCTAAGGCAGCTTTTCCCAGAGCTCAGATTGTTCTCATAGCTCTGCTCTGAGCCCTCTCCACTTGGTCAAACTCCTTTTGGAAGCACAGAGCCCAGGACAGAACAGTGCAGATGCCACAGGTGGACCTGGAGTCTAGAGGAGATGGCCAGGCCATAGCTGCTTCTCCTTCCCAGGTCCCAGCTCCCATTGTGGGACTAACACAGGGAAGGGAGTTAGCTGCAGCTCAGGAAGTTGTCAATTCATGGATTGCCAGGCCAAAAGGGCCTGCTGTGATCCTTGAGTTTGATCTCCTGTATAACACAAGCCAGACAACTTCTTCAAAATATTCCTAAACCTGTGACCCCTACCCCTTCTAGAAAAATGCTTACCCAAAGGATTGGGCAGTGGTGCAGATGGGCTGGGCCGGGACCAGTATGCCACACCAGCAAGTTATTTTTAGTTGGTACAGCATATCAGAGAGACTCCCCCAGCCATCCCTAGTCCAAACTCCGGCTGACACATCTCTGTGTCCAGGGCTGGGGACAAAAGCCCCATTTTCCAACCTGTTCTAATGATTAATGTTGTAGAAACTCCTGAAAGCACCACTCATTACTGACCATGACCCCACTGCATTAGGCACTGTAATATTCATTGGGTATATTATGGTAGTGCCTAGGAACCCTAATAATGGAGCAAGACCCCATTGTGCTAGGTGCTGTACAAACACAGAATCGTCAGTCCCCTGCTCCAAAGAGGACTGCTCCAAAGAGGACAGGAACGCCCAGCAATGGCCACGAAGACTCTGAGCTAGAACGCTCCCTGCAGACTGGCCAGCTGCCCAAGTCGCTGTGGCTGTCAATCAGCCATGATTCCTTGGAAGCCAATGTTGTCACAATCAGATACACTTGTACTTAGACTTGGAGAATCTGCCAGTCGGCAACTCCCATCATCTTTTACCACTCTGCAAAACGTGAGTCTTACCTTCAGTTTTCATGGCTGATACGGGCACAGTGAGAACTCGATGGAAGTCAGCCTTTTCATTTTGTCGATCTGATTTATAAATATGCTCTAATCTAATTTCTCTAATTTCGCTGTAGGTGTCCACAACCCCATATTTATAATAGATAGGTTGTTTGCTTTGTAGATCCAAAACAGGGACTGTTACTTGGCCAACGATTAGTAGCCCCTTGTCAGTGTCAAACCTAGGAAATTAAAACAATACGGAAACACTGTAAATATGGCCAGTGCCTTCAGCCTCCCCTGCCTGTTTGTCATGTTGCAAAAAATAGCACAGATCAAGATGGCTGCCTGCTGCCATTACCCTGGTAATCCTCCATGTCACGTCACTGGAGGAAGGGGTAAAATGGGGGCAGGAAGGAGCACAGCAGAGGGGTGGAAAGATATGGGGTGGGGATGGAGAAGGGGTGGGACTTGGGGAAAGGGGCAGAGTGGTGGGGTAGGGGTGTGAAGAGGTGGGGTGAGGCCTGGGATGGGGGTCTGTCCAAGGCCCTGCTCATGCACCCCCAAAGGGACAGCCCTGGTGATCACCACAGCCATATTTGCATTTCCAAACACACCTACGAAAGAGGTGGAGTAGGCTGAAGGGACTGGCTGGAGGACATGCTCTAAGAGAACAAACATGTCAGATAAGAACTTAGGAGGGAGAAGTTCGGACACACACACCCCATACCAGCTCCCTACCTCTTAGAAAAATGGAATAAGCAAAATAATGTACAAATGGTCAAAAATCCACCATGTTTGAAACCTTGTGACAAACGTGAAGGCCCAGTCCCCACTGTCTGCCCCAAGGCTTCTCTGAGCGAGTCCCTGATCCCAAGGCCTGTTTTGTGCCAATCCTGGAGGCATTTGGAGCAACCCAAATAATTATTTTATTTCTGCTTTTTTACATCTGTCTTTCTTCAGCTGCTGCTGTTTCTTTCTTATGTGGTCTCCCTCTTTCACTGGTAGGGTTGTTTGGGCACTTAGGCCAAAAACCTTCCTTATTCACCCTGTGCAAGGTGGCTGAAATATAGCGCTTAAGGGTCAAGCTGTTAGAATTATCCCACACTAATTCCTAGATATCAAAGCCCATCAGCCCAACTTCCCGTATAACCCAGACCAGAGACTCTTGCCCAGCAATTCCTGCATCAGGCCAAGAAACTTCTGGGTGAGCTAAAGCAAAGCTTTGAGAAAGAGACGCTGCATCTCCATCAACAGAGGCGGAGTGATGGAGAATCCACCTAACTCCTATGTAGTTGCATCAATTTCCCCTCGAACCATCAGTATTTCCTGGACTCTGGCTTTCCTGGCACATTGAACATGTGGCCTCGATTAGCCCACCTGAGCCAAAGCTGTCAGAAAGGAAGCACCTCAGTTTGGGGAGAAGTGGGGCTGACATGAGGCACCTTGGACCCAAGGGAGCCCACAACCTCCAGGGAGGAGAAGTTGGTTCCACACTCCCTGAAAGACCCTGTGCAGACCAGGACTTTAACAGGGTTCAAAAATGAACTAGATACATTCATAGAGGTTAAGTCCATCAATGGCTATTAGCCAGGATGGGTAGGAATGGTGTTCCTGGCCTCTGTTTGTCAGAGGCTGGGAATAGATGACAGGAGAGGGACCACTTGATGATTATTTGTTTCTATTCACTCCCTTTGGGGCATCTGGTATTGGCCACTGCTGTCAGACAGGTTACTGAGCTAGATGGACCTTTGGTCTGTCTCAGTATGACCATTCTTGTGTTCTTATGTAAAGGACAGTGCTTCAAGTAAAAGTGGTCAGGCCGGGGGCAACCAGCCGAGGAACGCCCCCCTCAGAGTTGCCCAGAGCACATGACACAGCACTCTGACAGCAGCTTAAAGGGCCCATTCTACCTTAATGGGGTTATAGCTGTCCCGGACCCCATCTCTGGACTCTTGCTGCCCTCCTGTGGTCATTCTACAGTAGAACTATTCCTGCTACCAGACCCCTCCTTTCCATTTTCCAGGCACATCCCATTGTCCTAACCTTGCTTTAAGTTATAATAAGAGGAAGCTGCATACTCAATTTGGTGGCCTTAACTTAGAAGGTGGTTTTGAATAAACAGACTCACAGACAGACACACAAACTCTTTCAAATATATAGTAAATTATCACAGTCTGCCTCCTTCTCCCTGAAAGCTCATATGACCCCGTCAGTGAAATCCATCTCTGGCATCGTTGTACCTTTTTTTCATCCTAGCTATTTCTTGGTATCTCCCAGGACTAAGGTAAGCTGCCACAACCATCTTTTTTAACTCTTCATAACACACACATTTTTTAGACCATACGGCAACAAACTCCAGAGTCATCATGTCCTCCACTGGGCATCTTGTGCTTGAAAAATATGGATTCGCCAATAAAATACTAGAGAAAAAAAACAAAAAAACCCCATAAGATCATCTCTGTGACATGTTCCATGCAGACCCTGGACATAAAATCTCTCAACATCTAGGCCCCCCACTCTCCTCATCTTGTCCTAAGTAGAGGAGAGATGGTTCGGAGTAAGGCAGGGAAGTGGGACTTCCAGGTCTCCTGTCCACAGTAAGCAACCTTGGTCTATCTTCTTGTGAGAGCACAAAGCAGGTGGAAAAGGCTAGCAGCTAGGTGTGGGACCATGTCCTACCTATTCTGCACTCAGGGTACACAGCAGTAAATGACTATTCAAGGGGTAAGGCCGGAGCAACTCACACAGTGAACGCAGCTGAATGGCAGATTGGCTCTTGGGCTATGCCTAGACTGCATCCCTCTGCCGGCAGAGGGATGCAAATCAAGCACTTTGGAAGTGCAAATGAGCCCAGGATTTAAATATCCCAGGCTTCATTTGCATACTCATGCTCCAGTGCTGTGCTAATTGCGCGCCATTTAGAAAGTGAAAGTAAAGCGTAGCTGCAGTTCTGCCATGGGGAGCTTTTTTGGCACATCCCATATTCCTCAGCATAATCCAGGCCAAAAGAAGCTCCCCTAGCCATTCATGCCTCTAACCCAAAAACAACTGCCTCATCTCCACTGTCCGACTCCCAATGAGGGCGAATTCACCCAGTGCCTAGGACACCTGATCCAATAATTCATTCCTCTCTCTGCTGAAAAAGGGGCCCTTATTCCCAGCCTCAATATGTCTCCTTTCATCAACCAGCCAGTGGGTCTGGTTTTGTCTTTGAATTCAGGGGTGAAAGTAATTTATATTTCTTACAGGTACTGTCGTATTGCAACTTGTCAAGAAGGGGCCCTCACAGCAGGGAGGGAGTTATGATAGGACAGTACTTATATGAAATTTAAGTGTGGAGTGTGGGGGACACAGGGAAGGGGGTTAGAGTGGGGGCGGGCTCAGGGCAGGGGCTTGAGGTGGGGGGTGCAGGAGTCAGAGTTGAGGGTTCAGGGCAGCGAGTTGGAGTGTGTGTGTAGAAGGGATGTGGGGGGGAATCAGGGACCAGCAAGCCCTCGGTGCTTCCCAGAGCATGCCATGTACCGCTCCAGCAGAAGTTTAAAGGGCCCTGGGCTCCAGCTGCCACCACTGCCACAGTAGTAGCAACAGCAGTCAGGAGCTCCGGGCTTTTTTGTATCACCAGACCTCAGAGCAGTTGCCCCTTTTGCCTCTCCCATTGGCAATCCATGAGTGAACATTTATGTTACAGTAGCACCCAGCCACCTCAGCTAGGGTTTGGGGTGCCAATGTGCAGCCTGCTGCACCAAAGGAAGGCAGACAGGCCATGTCTATGCAGCTGTCATGAGGTGTGATGGCAGCTCGGATAGGTGTACCCAAGCTAGTTCTGCTATAGCTAGCATAAGGGTGAGATCAGTGCTGGCTCAAGTAACAATAGCAGCATGGAGAGCACTCACTAAGGGCTTGTTACCACTACGCCAGGTATTGATGTTGCAGCGATCAATCCACCAGCTGTTGATTCATCATGTCTGTTGACACAATAAATCAATCTCTGAGCACCTTCCCATCAACACTGGTACTCCACCAAGACAAGAGAAGTAGCTGGCATCAATAGGAGAGCAGCTCCCTCTGCCCCCGACCTTACCGCACACAAGTTGCTGCGCTAAATACATCAGCTTCACCTAGCTGAAGTGACACAGATTGGGTCAACGGCAGGGGTTTGTGTACACTAGGCCTACATGGCTCTTGACTCTTAGGCTTCCTTGATTTTCCAGAAAATCCCTGCTACAGTATCTGCTTCTTTTACTCGCTTCTATGCACTGAGTCTGCTTCACAACATCCATTTCTGAACCATGCCACAAACCTGCGCTCAGATGTCGAGGTTTCTTCGTTTCCCTTCGGATCTGCAATTTTTATAAAGTAAAGAGCTTTCAGTTAAATTCGTAAAGGCTGAGGAAAATTTGCACATGCTGAAAACAAAGAAAATGAACTTCAAATGTACACATTTACAGCTCAGAAGTTGCCCATTCATTAAAAAAATGAGGACTGGCCACAGATGGAAGCGTCTCAGAAGACTTTGCTACACCTTAGCTCATTCTCAGTCAATAGAATGCATTTGCCATCTGCTGCTCCAACCAGCCTGTTACCTCTTCACCCAACTCCATTTCTTTAGCTACTGGACTATCCACCTCTGAATGAGAGGTCCCCTTTGTGCCTGATCCACAGAGGATAGGAGCCTGTTGTGGCCCCATTCATGCAGAGTTGGTTCTTTAGCTCAAGCCATAGCACCATGTGCTTTTAGCTCTGGAAGGCTCTGGTTACATCCCTGATGTATTGGCCGTCACATTTGCAGCAGTTAAAGTTTTCTTTCTTACGGTAAAATTGAAAGAAAAAAAAGTCCCATTAAAATATTTTGTTCCAACTCTCAGCTAACACCGAAGTCCATTTGGAGAGCAGATGAACAGAGCAGGGGTCACTGTGAGAAAGGCGCAGTCTGGAAGAAGAGATCCCATTGCTCCATCATGGTAGGCACAGGCACCCCAAGAGAAGACATGGAAAGGATCTCTTAGTTCTGAACCTCTCGGTACAGCATGATTGAGATGCCTACCCACACCACATGTGAGTCCACTGGAGACCAACACTGTCTTGCCTCGTAACAGAGATCCCCTCCCTATGGGCGCCAGTTGCGAGGCTCCATATTAATGGATGTCCATGTAAGAACCAGGCTACAGCCATATGTCTGTGG